AATAAGAAAATATTTGATGATAGATACAAGATATAATAATTAAATCTATATATAAATTAATATTATAATAAAGATAACAGAATAATTTAATGATAGAATATTGAAATAACTTTACTTATAAAATAAGAAAAAACAAAAAATATAAGAATAAATAAAAAGAAAAGATAATAAGATATAATAAAATAACAAGAGTAAATAAAAATATAATATGATTAATTGAAATAAAATACAAAGTGATATGAAGAAGTATGAAGTAAAGTAAAAGAAAAAAATCAACAAATAGGTAACCAAAATAGAAAAGAATAAATATATTAAACATTGATAATAAATAGAAGAAGAAAGTATATCTAATGAATTTATGAGAAAATATTAATTAAAAAGAAATAATGAAGAAAGTGATTAAATCACTTCAAAGAATAAAGAAAATATGAATAACAAAGAAATAATATAATAATTAATAAATTTGAAATAGACATAATATATTAAATAAAAATGATAAATAGTATCAATAATGATGATATTGTAATCTATAAGTAAAATATGAATAATATATAATAATTTAGAAATAGAATAGAAACATAACAAAATATAATTGTATCAATATAAATATATAAAAAATTATTTTTTTTAAAAGAGGAAATAATGAGTTGGATAAAATATTATCGATTCCATGTTTGTTTAATGTAAATTACGTTAAAAAAACATAAAAAGAAAAATTAAAATAGCAACTCTATTCAAACTCTATATTTTTGTCTAATTCATAGAAAAACAAAATAAAGAATAATATAAATATAAATAAAAAGAAATATTCAATAATTTAAATTTCGTTACCAATGGTTGAAAGATATGGGAATGATAACAAGAACAGACAAAATAAAGTACAATTTCAAAGTAGTAATTTCAACTCAAATAAAATAAATTGAATGGAAAATCAGTCAATGAATAAATATGATGGTACAGAATATATATTTAAAGAGAAAAACTGAAATACAAACCATTCAATGCTTGCATTTATATTATTTATTGTAATTTCTAGTGCAACAGAAAGTATTCTCAATAAAGAACAAAGAGGTAAAGAAGTTCAAAAGAATAAAATATATTCAATTGATAATAAACGAATGTATAATATCTATACTGTACATTTTAATAGTGACAATGTACAATCAGAAAGAAGAATGAAACAAGATACTACTGGAACATCAACTACTGGAACATCTACTACTGAATCTACTACTGGAACATCTACTACTGGAACATCTACTACTGGAACATCTACTACTGAATCTACTACCACAGAAAAAGAAAATGATAATAAGAATAACCAAGAAGATGGTTTAAATATTCCTTCTAATCTTAATCTTGCACCAAGTACTTTTGTCGTTCTATCTATTGTCTTTGCTCTCATCTTCTTCTAATTGAAGTAATTTTATTTTGTTATTATATTTAAATATTTTTTGTAAGAATTTAATAAACACATAAAATGTAACAGATAATCCATATTTATTTTATCCTTTATATTTGGGTATATTTCCATTAATAATTATTCATTCTATTAATACAATTAACATAATTAAATATCTTCTTAATAAAATATTTATTAGATGATGTACTTATGATGAGATTAAAGTTAATATATAATAAATGTAAATACGAAATATATTATATTATTATACTTTTATTTTTAAACCAGAACATAAAACATAACTGTTCTTTTATTATTCTTTATTTTATTTTTATTTTATATTTGTTATTAATCAAAAAATAAACATACATTGTTTATTCATTATTCATTGTTGTCATTTTACTAGTTTGATTTATTTCTATATTTATTTGTTATTATCTATTAAATTTACTTATTATCACATATTTGTCATTTAATCTATCTCTTATCAATATTGTAACTCTGTTTAATTTAACTTTTTAATTATTGAAAATATATTGGTTAGTACTTCATTTTATTGTTTAATCTTGTTGGATATTGGAAATATAAAAATATTCTTTATCTTTATGACTAATTATTGTAACAAAGTCAATACATTTATTCATTTTTTACTTGAGTTATTCTTTATTTCTATTATCTTCATAGCGCCTCTCTTTTACTTAATTATTTGCCTTTTAACGTATGTGTTTTTATGTTTCATTATATTCAAATGTATCAAATTACTTTTATTTATAGTAATTAAATTATATATAATATTTCAATATCATTTTATAATTAAAATAAATGAATAGTGCATTATAATAAATGACGTTGAATTTCATAAAATTAAGTAAGAACATAAGAATGTAATAATATATAATACAACAAAAAGAAATATATAAAATAATATCTTACACTGATAATTAACAAGAAAATAAATTTATTTATATAGAGTTATTAAAATAAAATTATAAGAATATAGAAGAAACAAAAAGGATTATTGATTCTACAATTAAAATCGTATTGAGAACTGATTAATATACTGATGAATATCTCAATAAAACAAGAGGGTAACCAATTTGAATAATTAGTATATGAGAATGCTATAACATATCAATAAAAGAAAACAAATAAATAAAGATAAAATACAAATACAACATCAAAAGAAGATAATTAAGAGTATCCAAGTGATAAAACAATTAGATTCTTGAAAAATAAGAGTTATTTATTATATAAATAATAAAAATACGAAAAGAAAATAAATATATAAAAATAAAAATATCAACCTAAAAATAAAACATAATCTAAAAAATATTAGGAAGAAGCAAGGTTTTTACAGTTGTGCTAAAAAAATTATTATAAAATTTATCTATTTAAAATAATTGCTAAATTATTATTGACTCTGGAGATATTTATGAATTTCATGAAATTATTTATATTCAAATAGAATAATCCATCATCTACTTTATTATGGAAATCATTTTATCTTAATTCTTAATTTTATTTATTTTATAAT